TTTTGTAGTCAAGGCTGGCATGGTGATCCTTTTTGCCTCAGCCTCTCAACTGGTGGGATTACAGGCTTGGGCCACTGCACCCAGCTGTTAAGGGTGTCTCCCTGTGACACTACAGCCAGATTACTTTGGAAATTGTTTCTGAAGGAAAACAGTGATTTTCCCAATAGAAGAAATGTCTGTGGGATGCTAAAACTGCTGTAAGATGTCTGAAGAAGATAAAACTAGTTGTCCAGACCCATAAGGATAAAATGAACTAAGAGAAAGCAAACTGCAAAAACCAACAAAAAACAAAATAAAGAGAACTGTAAATGTGCAAGCCATATTTAAGGCTGAGAAAAGAGCTGTACAAATTTGCTGGATCTCTCTTCTCCTCCCTTCCGTCTCCCCCATCCTTGGTGTTGGTACTGGGAATCTAATCTAGGACCCTGCGCCCCGATAGGCATAAGCACTCTACCACTGAGCTATGGTATATCCCTAGCCCTGCCGTTTCTTACTTTTGTAATAGGAACTGAACTTGTCCTTCCTTCTAGCATGAAAAAATCAAAGTGTAAATAAGGAACAAAATGTATAATAAATATTTGGAAATGGGGAGAAAATGTTCAAACGAGAAGGGGAAACAAAGGAAGGGAAAGAGAAAAAAGAATAAAAAGAAGAAATGGAAACAAAGCTTTTGTAAATAAGGAGGGGAAAAGGGGCTGATGGGAGGGGAGGGGAATGAGGAAAAAAAAAAAAAGCAAGATACATGATATACAGGTAGCGGAGCCTGGTGGCACATGGTTGTAATCCCAGCACTTGGGGGGCAGAGGCAGGACTGCTGTGAGTTTGAGGTTTGCCTGGGCTACTATAGCAAGTTCAGGGCCAGCCTGAAGTACAAAGTGAGATTCAAACAAACAAACAAAAAGATATATCATGTACAAGTACAAATTCCCTATGAATATTATCGATGTGTAGATCTAAAATATACTAATAAAAAATTTCAGAAACCCAAAGTTTCCCCCCTTGAATCAGTGGTTTAAGTTTTCCCTTTATAGAAAGGTAGGTGAGGGGGGCACTTCTGGGGAGGGGTTGTGGTTTTTTGAGACAGGGTCTCACTATGTAGTTGAGACTGACCTGGAACTCACTATGTAAGCCCAGGATGGTCTCAAACTCACAGCGATCCTCCTGCCTTAGCCTCCCAAGTGCTGGGGATTACAGGCGTGCGTCACCAAGCCCGGCTTCACTTTTTTGAGACAGGGTCTCGCTATGTAGCCCAGGCTGGCCTCCAAATCACTGCAATCCTCCTGCTTCAGTCTCCAGAACGCTGAGATTACAGGTGCGCACAGCCCGCCCCGCCCATCATTTTGCATTCTGTTTTAGGAAGATTGACTGCAAGAGGATTTCCTGAAAACTGTGAAGGGCTTCAGGACTTAGCCGGTGGCTGCCACCTAACCTGCAACCTGATCCCACCGCCGCTCCGTTATAGCCTTAAGGGACTGGCTCTGGGCCACAGTCCGCCCCTTCGGACCCAGAAGGTAGCCCCCGCCCCAGGGCACAGCATGTTTCTCCTGACGCTCAGCCCTAGCAGCTACCTGGTGGCTGTCCTGACCTCGGGCAAGTCAGGTAAAGACTAGCAAAGAGGACTCCAGAACGGCTGCGGAAAGTGGCAGGAACGGCGCGGGGAGTGAGTGGGAAGCGAGGGGGGCAATGCGACACAACGGAATTGTGTCTCTCATTGGATGATTTTTGCGATGACCCAAACCCGTCCTAGCGCAGACTGAGGCTTAGAGGGGGCGAGGCCGCCCACCCAGACGTCCCGGTCAAGTGGGCTCCCGCAGCCACAGTCCAGTCCCGCAGCTGCCCTATCCCCTCATCTGGCTCGGAAATGGCCGCCGTTGCCACCGCGGGGCCACGCCCACGAATTGAGGCCACGCCCCGGGGCGGTGCCCGAGTGCAGGCAAGAGCGATAGATACTCGACCTTGCCGAGAGCCGACTGATCGCGGGTAGAGCTCGCTCAGAAAGGGAGAGCGGGCGCCGCAGGCCGGGAGGAGGAGCGCCGAGTAGAGCACTCGCTGGTGGGCCGCTGAGAGCGTCTTCTTCGCGGACGCTGGGGCCGCCATCTTAGATGGCGGGAGTCGGAGCGCAGCAATCGTGAGGCGGGAAGGCTTCCCTGCCGCCTTCCCCAGGTGCCCAAAGAGCCAGCTGGCCAGGGCTTTGGGGCGCGTGCCCTGGGGCGCGCAGCACGAGGGTGACGATGCGGGACCCT